ATGATTAAGGGGGGTTTGACTAATATTGAACAAGGGGTTGTATCCACCCTAATATATATAAAGGGGTTATTTGACAAACCCCCCTCGTTAGCCTCTTCCAATTACAATGAGTCAGAAAAAAAATTCTCATTTTTAAGTTAAATCCAAAATATTTTTAATTAATAAAAATTATATAATTTCACTATTATACCCTCCTTCCTATTTGACAGAACCCTATTATTTAATATTAATTTATAATTATAATCTCCATCCAAATTCTCAAACCCCAAGATCCAACCCATTTCATCTCGTCTATTCCTTTTCTCGGTTCGATTTCTCCAAACCTCTCTTCTCTATCTATCGCCGCCGCGCCATCTATTCACTCTCCATCGCAGCCGCCCCCTTTCCTCTCTCTGCACCGTGCAATCTCTGTGTGGTGGTAAAAAACCGAAGCGACGGATGTGCTCTTCCTCTTTCAACAAATTATGCTTCAGATCGTGCCCTAATTTGGATTTTCTGAGATTTTGAAACAGAGATTAAAACTCCATTAGTAATGAACTGTCATCCTCGTTGGTGGTAAGATCATCAATTTATTTATTAATTTTTGAAAATTCTATCTTTTTTTTTATTTCTCTGAATTAGGAAATGGGTCAATACAAAATTATAAACCCTAGTGCCTTTTCAATTAAATTTTAATTAATTATGTTTGTGGATTTGCGTCTCACAGTCAATGCCTCTAGTAATTGTTTCGAAATTTTAATCCTTGATTTCTGCTCGAATTGAGTTATAAGTATTTGCTTCTGCATGCCGTTCCTTGATATCTTTGTAGTGAATTTCGATAATTGGAGTTTGATAAGTTAAAAAGTGGATTTCAATAACATTTGAGTGGATTTTAAGTTGCTTTGAAAGGGGGTTGTTTTGAATGAATTGAATTGACATGACTTTGATTTCGTTTTCTTTGTTAAAGTTTCTTGACAGGCGGAGCGATGGCGGCGGGGAGGGATGTTAGATAATGCGAAGAGATTAAAGAAAAAGGAGGAAGGGCCCACACGGTTTTCGTTAATTACAGAGTGGTTTTCATTAATTATAGAGTGGTTTTTGTTAATTGATAAGTTTTTAGTGAATTTTTTTAACGGAATTTGCTAATTACATAGTGAGTTTCGTTAATTTACAGAGTAATTTCCATTAATTACATCGTGGTTTTCATCAATTACATAGTGGTTTTCGTTGATTGATAAGGTTTTAGTGAATTTTTGTAATGGAATTTGTTAATTACATAGTGATTTTCGTTAATTACAGAGTGGTTTTCATTAATTATAGAGTGTTTTTTTTTTTTTAAAAAAAGGGAGATATCATATATTAGGCACCAAAGGCCAAACCAACAGGAGGTAAAGAACCCTTCAAAAAGTCTTCAACCTAAAGAGAAGCGAGAGAGTGCGCCAGGCTATTGCCTTGCCGTCTAATATATGAAAAGGAACAAGAAGAAAATAAACGAGAATAAAAATAGCATTCTTCGATAATCGCTCCAAAGGAATGAGATGAGGATTTATTAGCTTGGAGAATATTGATAAGTTGTTGGCAATTTCCTTCAATCGAAATATGCATCCACCCCTTAGTCCGGGCAAGTTGTAGCGCATGTAGAATCGCATAAGCTCCGCCTTCCACCGGTTTGACTCTTCCGCCGAACTTCCTAACTTGCCACCACACACATTCAGCCCTATCATTTCTCACCACAAGTGATGTACGGAAAAAGTCTCGACTCGCCAGAAACGATGCATCCACGTTAATTTTCAAAACACCGAATGGGGGAGGGTTCCCACTCTTGTATGTTTGGAGCCTTTGTCGGTAACCTAGGGTGCTGGGCATCATCCAAAACACAAAGAAATTCTTTGGTCCAGTAATATTCACCTTCCCATGCATCTCCCTGTTACGGACTTCCCGCGCTTTCCATCACAAGATCATGGCGAGGCATCGAGATTCCTCATCCAAACTGTCGTGTAGATAGCTGAACACCCCCCGAAACGGGAGTTGCAATATTGTCGGGGTCAACCGAAATGGGGCAGTTTGCCAAATATTCCTCATTCCACGACAAATAAAGAGGGCATGGGTCAAAGATTCTACCTCAGATCCACAGTGAGAGCAGAATGGGTTCGGTGCTATGTGTCGGCGAAAAAGCTCTTGGTGAGTTCGAAGAATATCCGAACATGCTCGCCACAAAAAAATACGGATCTTCGGGGGGATGGCAAGTCCAAATATCCTTCCACTTCCAATAATGCTCTCCACTTCCACTCTCCGTGGCTGCAATTGTATCATTCCGGTCCGAATGAAGAATATGAAAATAGCAAGATTTAACTGTAAAAATACCTGACTTCGAATGATAAGTTTTTAGTGAATTTTTGTAATGGAATTTGCTAATTACATAGTGTTTTTCGTTAATTTACAGAGTGATTTCCATTATTTAAAGAGTGGTTTTCATTCATTACATAGAGATTTTCGATAAGTTTATAATGGATTTCCGTAACGAAATACTATAACCACATAGTGGTTTTTGGTAAGTTTATTGTGGATTTCAATTTGTTAAAAACATTTTTTTTTTAATTTAATTTTGAAAAACAGAAGTATAAAAAATAAAAAACCAAAATTAAAAAAATTAAAAATAATTTTTTTTTTGAAAACAAAATCAAAATTTTCTTATGAAGAAATCGAAAATAAGAAAAGAAATAAAAATGAGATTTTTTAGAATTGATCAGGGAGCATTATTTTGGACATAAATCTGAAGCGCGATTTGGGGTATAATTTTTTGAGAAGATTTTGGGTGTAGATTATGGATATAATTTTTTTTTTAATTTGAATAATTATACTAATTAATAATTAGTGGGGACATATATGGTTTTTTAGGCCCATTAAATTTATGTTAAATATTATTTATAAATAAATGATTTATCAAGGAGTAAAATTTTAAAAAGGGTGTATGTCATATCCTTAAATGATGTTCGGGTTCTCACTAATTATCCCTTTATTTTAAAGTAAGTGTAAAAAGCAAGTTTTCACTTGCAGATGGAAGCTGATTTTGGTGAAGTGTCTTTCGTCATTCTTCTTAATTTTGGGTGTTAATGGAGTAGATCTCTCGAAGCCTTTTCAGTTTATTGGTTTCCCGATTTTCACCCTTTCTTGTTATTGTTTGAAGTTATATATCCAATTACTCAGTTTCCTTTTAAGTTCTCTTTCTATTTACATTTTTTAGCGTAACAAGGTGAAATGGGGCTGTGGTGGCGGTGGAGGTTGTGAACGGCGGCGGCGGTGAACGATGGTTGCGGCGCGATGTCGGCGGTGGCGATAAACAGCAGCGACGGTGGTGGAGGGGGTGGTTTGGGTGGTGCAGATTTGGAAATTAGGGTTTAAGTTTCAAACCTTTTTTGTTTAGACTTTCAATGTATTTTTTTTTCCTTTTAAAGTTTTAGAGGATTTAAAAGGAATTTTCAAAATTTACTTACAGATTTTAGTGGATTTCACTAGGACTTGTAATGTACTTTTCATGGACTTGCAAATGAATCAATTTTGCGTCAAATTATTTTTTCTTTGAACTTGCCTTGGATCCGTAATGGATCCAGATTTTTTTTAAACTCAACTTAATCTGGTCCAATTCATTTTTTTTAGATTTTATCTTGACGGAATCCATCTGGATCGGACTGGATTTGGACCAAACTCATCGAACCGGATCACCTTTGCCACCCCTAATTTTAACAAAACCAACTTCGAAAAATATCAATTTTCACAAAACCTTTTATTTTCATTTTATGAGTTTTTGAAAATCTTACCTGCTTGGGTGTCGGTGTTGGGTTGCGTTGGTTGTCGGTTGATCATGACTTTAATGTGTAGGCTTGACAGTTTCCGCCAGCGGCGACACTTGGGCGGCGAGTTTACGGCGGCGGCGATGTTGAAGGGTTGTTTTGGCTTGGTCATGCATTTTCCTGTCTGCTATTTTTCTTTTGTCTAGAATTTTTTTCATTTTGCAAATAACTCGTCTTTTTGGTCTTGCAACAACAAAACAAGATAAATTTAATTAATGGACATATTACCATTCATGATTTTTAGCTTAAAAAAAAGTATTTTTATGGTCTTTCTTTTAGTTAATCTTCCACATAGTCGAATTAGAATTTCGAATAGCCACGGCCACAAACAAATCCATCCATACAAACTACGTCATCAATTTGATATGTTTTGCTTTAAACTTAGATGAAACACTTCGCTCAAAAAATGAATAGAACTGTTGTGGAAAATGGTTTTGTTGTGCTATAAATGATTTGAATTTGGTATTAGTTCCATTGATTCAGTGAATGCATCTTATACTCGACGATTTTCCCTTCTTAGATCGTTCGATTAACTAATCAATGAAATAAATTAAATAAAAGAGTTTTTATAAATTAACTAACTAATTAAATAAACTAACAAACTTCAAAGAAAAAATGTTGACCCGTACCGGCAACCGGTTTAGGCCGGGTCAAGAGTTTACACGCCCAAACTGGGAGTGTAAACTCTTGACCCCCACCTAAACCAGTCACCGGTTTCTACGATCCAAGCCTGATATAGGCGTCCAACTTATAAACAAACGCCCAAATCAGGCGTGTAAAAAAAAATTCACGCCCATTTGGGCGTGTTGCCTAAGTAGACCAGAAAAATAAAAGCCCAATAATCCAATTTATAGGGGATGTGGGGGGGGGGGGGGGGGGGGGGTTTTTTACATGGAAATCGCGAAATAAACTAAGAAGAAATTACATATAACTAATTTAGACAGTTGATTACCTTCAAATTTGGTGAAATTTTCAAATTTGAGAGGATTTGTGATGATTCTTAAGAGTGTTTGTGAGTTTTGGGGGTTTAGAGAGAGAAATGAAAAATAGAATGACAGTATTTCATAATTTTAGCACCGCAAAAATCATTTCAGATAACAAAATGTGCAAATACTAACAGTATTCGTAATTTCAGTATCGCGAAAATCATTTCAGATAACAAAATGGGCAAATACTTAAAACCATATAACATCAATGACATATATGCATTACTGTATCTCACATCACAATATCACTGGTCACCTTTTCAGAAGAAAAAATGCATTACTGCATCTCTCATAACAAGCAAATTTCAAGATTAAACTCGTCAATCTCACCTATCGTACTATACAAAAATGAAGCCAAAATGGCAACTTACAAAATTTATACGCCCTAAATACTTGTGGTTCCATGAAATGCTCAAAGAGGGATGGAAAGACAAAGCGAGCTGTACATTTTGCTATACAAGGGAAAAGCGTTTTCACAATGGCACAAAAGTCATGTCGGTAATTATTTCTGCAACGAAGTTTGTCTAATCCCCCAGATTAGTGATTTCCATTTACTCAGGTAGGGGATTTTGTTTGACTAGGTTGCGTCGGAGGTGCTGGTAGTGCATAAGTAAGCGTGGAGGAACTTTCAATGAGACCAGCAACTCCAGCAGCTGAAGTTTGAGCATTTGAAGGAAGAAAAAGATCATGCCTCTGATCTTTATACGCATTCCAAACCTGCACAACATTCCCGATTTGGTGATGTAAATAAACTTTCTCAAACAATATTTACACGTTCAACTCCCAAACTCCGTCGGCATAATTTGATGTTATGATCTTATTAGATCAACAAAACTCTGCATCAAATATATGGGCACTGTATAGATGTTTGGAGATTTGCGTCTTAAGATCTAGGCACACCAAAGTGAGTGACGTGAATACAATTAATTAATTAATACTGATGTGTCCTTTCCAGCATAGACTAGTACTAAATTTTGCAGTTGGTGGCATTTATCACATTGCCTAAACATGTTTAAACAGTATATCAACGCAATCATTCACCTTCTAAGCATAACTCTCGTCATATTCAAAGGTTTCTGGTGCCTAATTACTGTAAGAATCATGAAAATACAAATACTATCCAAGATAAGTAAGCATACATATTAAGAAGTTGAGGACTTACATCAGAAGCGTTTAGTATATCACGTACTTTGGTACAATAAGCCCCTTCTGTTGCAAATGCATGCAAAACCTACATGATGACAGCAAAGGGGATATCACCACAATTGGTAGAAAACATAATAAATTGCTACCGAACGTTCCAATAAAATAACTAGCTTATCACTTCTAAAAATTAAATAAATCTATCTTACAACGATCTAATAGTATTTCATTATTAATTTAGAATGATTATAGAATCCATTCGGCCAATTCACAAAATATTCATCTATGTTTATAAATTATGAGTACCTCCGAAGATATTACAAAAACCCCCTTGAAGTTTGTCTTTATTTACAAATTGCACCTTTATGGAAAATGTTGTCATCAATCTAAGATAGGAGAACCCTATTTAAGAACTGACATTAGCAAGTGGAATTTGCAAATTTCCTATATGGGGTTATTTGTACTTTAGGTATTTAGGGGGGCTAGTTTATTATAAATAGGCCAAACCTTGTAGTTTTCGTAGTTGACCTTTATAATCTACAGCAACTGTTCTATACTTTTAAAAGAAGACATTTATTGTTTAATTTGAAGGCAAGCACCATCAGAGAGTATTTTTCTTTTTTTTTTTTACATATAACAAAGGAAGTGCTCAAGCTCATTCATATAAACCTTAATGCGGTACTACCTCAATTGCAAGAACCCTGCCAATGGATGCTTCTGACTCATTCCAATTCATCTGCGAGCAGAGCCCATTTCTTCCTCCAGCTCGCCAATCAAGAAGACCAAGAAGAACTTCCACAAGACCAACCCTATACCGATCATATGCTGTATTATTATTTAATGACAAGAAAGATGCAATAGCTTTTTCTTCAAGATGCAAACCCAATATTATTCAAAATGAACCGAACAATATCCCAAGTGTTTTCTACAGCCGCACATTAACTAATTTACGACATCTACACCTTCCCAGACCAGAATTAGAAAATAAGTCGTTCAAAAATAGATAAATTTACGCATGTTGTAATTCCCTTGACAAGTTTTGCAAATTTCACATTTCTAATTATTACTATGGAACATAATGGTTAAGCGGAATGTACACTCACTTGAGACCCTGTGCGACAAGTGCATCTCTTGCTCTATTTCCTGCAACTACAAGACGCTTCAAGGTTTCAAGAGCAAGGATGCTTCCACCTTGCCAACCAATAGCCTTCATGAGAAGTGGAACTACCTGAAATAAGGACTATCAAAATGAGACCACGCTTAAGAATGTTTAATACAACAGATTAGATCTTCAGCATAATAAAAGTCTTAAAGACTCAGACCTGGGGTGTCCCTACACTAGTTGCTGCCATAGCTTCTGCACAGGTTGTGCTACCAGCAAGCTGATGCAGAACACGCAAACAACTAAGGCGAATTCTCTCTTGAGGAGTTTGTGAAGTTTGTAGCGACGAAGTATCCTCAGATACACAAGTTTCTGTAGCCATACTCTCTCTGCTGGCTTCATAAGCTACCGCAGACACAAGCTTGGGCACATAACCAAGATATCCAACATGATCGGCGAGGGCAGGATATACCCTGAGTAAAGACACCAGGGCAGCTGAAAGAAGTAGAGGAAGCTCCGCGTGAACAGCTTGGCTATCATAATGTGTGGCTGCAATGGATGTAAGGTACTGATCCAGCAATCCTTCAAGAAATCTTTTAGGATTTCTAAGTGGAAATTTGGGGTCCTTTAGGAATAACCTTACATAGATTCCTCCAACCTAGACATAAATAGATGATGTAGGTAAAAAAAAATTATGCATTCTCGAGTACATTTAATGTAGAGCACCATAGCAATTATACCTGAGGTTCGTCTTTCATTTCCTGTTGTCCAGAAGCCTGTTCGGGTACATCCCAATCAACAACATGTCCTTTCACCTGTTCACGATACAGATCTGAAGCCATTGTCGCAATTTGTGCAGACAGAGATGCAGCCATTGCTGGAGTCCATACAAGTTCTGGAGTTTCTGTTGTTTGTTCAAGAGCATTTACAACCGCTTCGCCGGGACCATCCCTGATTATAGAAACAAGTCCATCAGGCAGAAACCTAGCCAAAGTTATTGCAACTCTAGGCCCATGCATCATCTGCCCAACAAGCTTCCCTAACAATGAGGCTGCTGCCGCTCTTTGCTGCAATGGAATCTCTTCTGCACAACATTTTCATTTTAGGAGTACGATAAATGCATGACCAAGAAAGTGGATGTATGAGATCACTATACCTTTTATTGGCAAGAGAACTTCAAGAATGAAAACAACCCCACCGTGCTTCGCAGCTGCCCATGCAAGCTCCGGTGTACTTGCCAAGGCATAGAGGACATGCAGAGCTCCTTCACGACAGCTGGGAGTTGAGTGAAGCATCTGTAATAAAATAAGCAAACTAGAGCCATCCGCAACCATTGCCTCCAGGCAAGGGGCATATGTTGTCAACCGTGATAAGACACTCAAACATATCTGAGTGATGTTGCTTGCTGAAGCAACAGGTAGAGAAAAGCATTCAAATAGGGGCAATAACTTTTCCTTTGTAGACAACACCGAAGCTAAATTGGGATTCTTTGTCAACAGATGCTGAAATTAAAAAATAGAAGTGTAAGAGTCACCATTTACGCATTACAAGAAGCAATGCAATCAGATTTGTACCTGGAGAGATTTGAGACCATATCGAAGATTCTTAATTAAGTCAAACTCCTCTGTCTCCTTGATTTCCCCTTCAACTGATGCTGAAGAATCCTCGGAGGATTGCTGCTTCAGAGATGATTCAGTGGTTACGTCACCATTAACATGAGTATCCCCACTTTCAGCTTGTGCGTTATGGACCAGATGCGATATAAAATTAACAAGGGCAAGACAAAAATCCTCAGGTTCAGTAGTTTCAAAATCTGGTTGATCGTTATAGACTCTCAAGTACACGTTGCCAATATAGAGTTCCTTAGATAATGCCTCATATACAAAAGAATGTGCATCTTTCAAGTCAAATGAACCATCATGACTTAATATTGCACGCTGCTCCTCCACAAATTTCAATAGTTCTGAACGAGTGGAGGAATTCCAGATTATCTGCCACCGGAAGACAAGAGTAGGTGAGACTACTTTGCAATTCAACTGAAGGTTACATGTATAATATCAACTATGATATATCGCATATACAACACATGCAGAAGTACTTGTCACCACATTCCTTAGGTGTTGAAACATGTTCCATCTAGAATGTCCCCGCACATCCAATTATAGTCAGAAGTAAATACCCGTATTTAGTAGGGCATTTCAACTCACAGCAGAGACATATTAGGTATGATTTTGGAAAACATGCAGATTATGTAGTGCACAAGTAATCACATGTAATAGGAAGGAGCAGACTGAAAGATCCATCACTATATTTTGTTGATTTTGCTAATTCAATACAGAGCTCTAGCCATAAAGAACAAAGAGCCAACACAAGATTCTTTAACATAGCCGATGCTATAATCTATGTAAAAAGACAGTTCAAGAAAATTAAAATTATTCCTCTTTATTTAAATGCAAAAAATATAGAAAATGTGAAGATTTTTGAGAAATAGTGAACACTCTTGGTCCTGACATTCCCCTGGTTTTCTAATAATCAAGTAAAAACAAATACAAATAAAACTTGAATCACTGATGGAACCATCATGAATAATTCACACGAAATGATTAATGCATAGAAATTTTTCAAGAACATAAATTTGACAATCAAAAAATCACTTATAAAATTTTTTTGGTTCATTGCAAAATTTTCCGGTGTTTTTAAAGCAAAAAAGGCCTAAGGTAAGAAAATAGCATTAAACCTCCTACACCGGCCTCTCAGTGTTCACCTCACCCGAGGAAGAGAGAGAGAAAGGTTCAAATGCCGAATGGGATACTACAGGTGGCAAATGTGTAGTTTAACATAAATTTATACCCATCAAGGCAGGCATATTGATAAACACACCCAGTTATTGGGTTCATAATTTCATGAAAGACATGTAATTATGTCTAAGATTCTAATCCAAGAAAATGAAGCAATGCTTATGGATGTCGAAGATACTAATTTTGCAAAACTGCAAGGATATGTAACATTTACCTCAGGAGACTCCAAGTTTGAGTTTAATGTAGACAAGAGGTCTTTGGCTAGCTTATCTTTCAGCAAGCTTGCAAGTTTAGGGGTCAGCAAAGCTCTAAGGGCATCAGCTGCAGCCTGATTATAGGGTGTGGGGGTCTCCCTGCTCCCCAAACCACTAAGCCTTGACAAGGCAAAAGATGCTTGTACAGCATGCAAATTTTTTGCTATTTGAACGCTGGTTCCAACACCATGTGCATCAATCTTATCTGATTCCTCTGCTGTTGAATCGTATTGAAGCAACAGTGGCATCAGGTACCTGCCACGAAAAATTGCTTAGAAAGATACAAAGTTTCTGAAATGGACTCAAATAAAACAACATAAAGGAAAAAAACTTTGACATTAAGGTATAACAGTTGCTGGCCTCTATTTTATATTCTCTATAAATCACAAACTTTTCTTTCAGATAGTATAAGGAAATTTTCTCTTCAAATACTAGTCATCCTAAAATAACTTCGTTACAATTCCAAGACTTTCCTGATTTATATATATATATATATATATATATATATATATATATATATATATATATATATATATATATATATATATATATATATATATATATATATATATATATATATATATATATATATATATATATATATATATATATATAATGTAAGTAAATAAACTAATATACAAAGAAATATGCTTCATTCAGATGGAGGAGAAAAATGATCAGAGCTACCAATACATGAACATCTTACAAGTAATTTCTATCAGCAAATTCTAGTGTAGTTAACATCCTAAAGATCAAAATGTCCTAGAACACTGATGGAAGCGCAATAAACATAGTAAGATCAACAATTAACAATTTCACTTACCACAGCACACCAGCTTTCAGAAGGGCATTTTGAAACTCTGAGGAGACAGAAACATGAGAGATAGTCCGCAGGGCAGCATCAGTAGCAGTAGCCACAAGCTCAAGTTCGGTGCAATGAACAATGTCCTCAACTAATCCAGAAAATTCAAGCATCTCAGTTCTAGCACTTTCAAACTGACTCAAAACTGAAAAGGTTTGCATGATGTTAGCAACAATAGTGGCAGACGGTTCAGAAGCTGGAGTTGTCGGTTGGACCACAGACATGCAACGCGAAAGAAGAGTCGCAAGAAGAGGTATTCCACCATCTCGGACAAGCTGTTCACCATTCAAGGATGAGGACTCACACCTGAAAGTAATTAAAGATATGGAAATTATGAGACCTTAACAAATACATTTAAAGAGTACTCATCAAGAAATAATTATTTGAAAATTAGAGGACAGTGAATTTACGTCAGCCAAACAAGCTCTGATGCTGCAACTAGAAGAGGTGCTCGATCAGAAGAAAGAAAATTGTTATCATCGTCGGCCACTGTAATGGCATTTAACAGCATCGGATACCCAGCATATTTGAAAGGCATTAATACATTTCCATAGCGCCTATATAGAATGCATTGGCCCTTCAAGAGTAGCAACAACCTCCAATTTTGGGGGCCTTGCAACCCTTGCATGGTCACCTGAGGGAAAAGAATCAAAAATCGCTAAGAACAGCAAATAGTTATCCTAAACTTTTCGGATCACTAATAGGTGATGAGGGGATTTTTGGGGATTTTTAGAACATGGTATAAGATATGACAAACCATTATAAATTAAAGTAGGTGAAGCATTTCCTTGTCAACTGATCTCCTGAATACTGAAGACATGCTGTGTAAGACTCGCAAATGTTTATGTGGTTCATTTAGAAGAATATCTAAAAATGGATAAAACATAACCCAACAAGAGGAAGCACATCATTCAAGTTCACGTATACAAAGACCAGCTTATAGTCTAAAAATTACAAAAATGGCTTGAGTTCAAGGGTGTTCTTATAACAAGAAAATATTATAATTCGAGATTAATATAATAATTAGCAAATTATCCAAACATGCTATTAACATCAAAATTCAGGAAAATCCCTTTTCTTGCTATAGGTAGTTATGGGATAAGATGAAGTTGGCTGCTAGGAAATACATTCTATTATAACAAGCTAATGGAAGGTTGAATACACATTCTATTATAACAAGCTAGTAGAAGGTTAATCAGGGTTGGCCTCTAAATAAATTAGAACCATGTTTAGCGTTTTCATTTGGCATATTATAACCATTGGGATTCATTGATCTAAGTACTGTAACTATACAAAATTTTATGGCTATCAGAAAAGTAATGTCCAGCAAGATCAGGGTGTTGTGAATACCTGCAGGCACTCATAAGCTTTCTGCACAGCAAGAAACTTCTCTCTTCCTTCAGGATTTTTGTCTGGATGATACTTCATTGCAAGTTTCCTATACTGTCTCTTGAGCTTTTCCTCATCAATATACTCAATCTGTTTTGATATGTTAGGTATCTCATTTGATTCAGCGCTTGGTTTTTTAGGTGCATCATCTCTGGATACTTCTTCAATCGAAATCTCCAGTATCCTGCAAGCTTCTTCTTCAGAAAGGTCCATTGGCCTTCGAGTTAACTCCTCTCTCCACATTACTAGCAATGATTGCAGAAACTCAACATGCTCAACTATTGGCCAATTAGGAAATCTAATTTCATCACACAAGTTTCGGAGATAGTAACGATGACACCACATTTCGTCTTTCAGCTCCGCATACGTCACTGGTGGCATTGGAGCATAATCATACAAGGAATGACAATGCTGTGACAATTTCTGAGGAAAATCACCAAGATGCTGAAGAACCTAAAAACGTAAAATCCATCTTCAAGTTATAGTTGCGGTAGTTGCATGCTTTGTGGATGACTCAATCATCACAGTGTTTTTATTTAATATATATATATATATATATATATATATATATATATATATATATATATATATATATATATATATATTAAATATTAATGAAAAGAGTTGTAGAGTCAACTGACAGGTAGTTGAGCTCATGTTCAGGACTACCTGACGAATTAGATTTTCTGCTCGCATCTTGTGCGTCCAAATAATCTCCGGAGTGTCAGAATCAGAAACCATTGCTGCTGCAAAAGAAACTGGCCCACTTCGTTCCAGTACATAGAGCAATGATTCAGGTAAGAGGCCCCCCAATACACTTCGTTTTGCCCAAGGTAGAGAAGATGAAACTGCAGCTTCTTCCCCACCGTGAAAAGCTTGATAAGCATGAGTTACTGAGAACAGTTGGGAGATAGAAAGAAGATTAGATCCAGGATATGCCAGGGCAAAATAAAACGCCCCTGTACTGTATAATCTTATCATTGCTTTTGGATTCCTGGTAACTATAGCCTTCAGTAAAGCAGCCGAAGCCTCAACAATAGTAGGTTCACCAGAAAGCATTGCCTGGAAATGAGATAATGGGATTTAGAAAAGGTCATATTAATAACCACCTCTTCCAGAATTGATATACAATCAACAGATTCATGGATCCACCTCCAAGCATGCCAGGAACATTAAAAAGGGGTGTTTGTTAACCCTCCAAACCAAATAATAATTTAAGACAACAATCTATAGGAACAAGAATCTAAAGGTTGCATCTCTAAAACGCCAGGACATTAAGGATATTAGTGGCCGGCTATCTATACTTTTTTCCATGCAAATATAAAATGTACATTTTACAAGGAAAGTTCGTTGTAGCTTGAGGAAGTGTGTGGTCTAGTGAGCTGAACTAGTTGACTAAATCAATCTCCATTGTGCATCTGAAGAAATGGTAAGCATACATAAAGGGCGAAGAACTATCATATAAATCATATGAAGACATCAAAGACTGTCAAAACATGTCACGGTCAGTCAAGCAATATACCAAAAGAGAGAGAAAAAATCCGATTAGCTTTACAAATTGGATTATTTTAATATTCAAGAGATAAGACTTTCTGCTAAATTTTGTAGGACACTACCGACAACCAATATAGGACAATCACATCAAATATTACCTGGGCTATATGTGGAAGACAACGTGGGCTTGACAAGATCCGTTTTACTCTAGGGGTTGGCATAACGATCTCTCCTGCATCATCTATATCTGAATGAGCAGCTACCATGCTGTGCAATATGGACAATGCCACCTCCCCTACCTGTACAAAGTAGCCACCAATTTTAAGAACACTTCACATTTAAACATGACCAACCTTGTGAAGGATGCATCAAGTAACAGAAGTCCCTCCAGGTCATACTATTACTTCCAATGGTTCTTGGATGGAAATTGCTGACATTATCCAAATTCATTGGTAAATTTCTTACTTTAGCCCTTTGACTAATTTTAATATTTTATGGAATGAAATACCCTTGTAATGCTTTTCAGTTGGAGGATGTATCAAAATAATAATGGAAGCTTGTGAATGGGCATATTGCAATAAGGAAATACCAGCGGGTAGTTATTTTTTAGTGTTTAGAATTATAGCCGTTAGAAAATCGTAAGCATTTCAATTTATTTTCATAACTCAAAAAATACCTTAAAACGATCTAAGCAGATCTTAGTATAATTATTAATAATCTCATCTAACATTGACAGCTTGTCGATTGGCATTTATGGCCAAAATTTATGGTTCATATTGGATAATAGTTCTACTGAAAATGCTATACCTGGATTGGAGTAATAACTGGAACTCGAACAGCCATTGTCCATCGGAGTTCACGTATGTCTCTTAGTCTCTTCCAGTCTGGCATCCCAGATGCCCAGCACCTGGTTGTCCAATCGATTTCTTTTACTGACCAAAATCTTCTAATTGCGTCCTTCTCCACAGGCCCAACTTGTGCATTGTCCTTGTCCATGAACATCCATTCTTTTAGGGGTTCCATAAAAGCAGTGGCAGCAATTAAGTTAGACTGCAATGGTATAGCAGTTCTTTCCGAAGCTTCATGAATTACGGTTAGTAAATCAACAGCAAGAACGCATCCTCCAACCAAGACGCAGGCCTCCACATTTGGCAGAACTTTCATCAAAACCTTCACAAACAAAATAATGTCAGTTAGCACAAACACTCATTCAGATTACCCTCACAAATTTTCTAGCCACTGAAAAGTTCATTGCTTTCAGAGATGGCACGAAATCACCAGTGCTGATACAGTTCTAACATGAAGTCAGGAAATGTAAATTCTATAACCTTTCGCAGTTTAAATAACTTCACGGAGATGCCCTAACTATTGAAAGTTTGATGATCATGGTCATCTTCCAATTTTAACAATGGTATGGCAACAAATGCCAAGAGAGGGTAGGACTCTTCTCACATTTATGTCCGAGGCGCCCAGTCTCTAAACCAAGAACGATATATCTTCACCTACTACCTCAATCATAACGTTCCAGCACGAATTTTTGCAATCGCTACTCTTGTTACTTTCGAGATTGATTTTCTAATTTCAGCATTCTAAACAAAAAGCCTATTTGTCTTAGAGTTTCATTCAGCAACTACAGCCTAGAACAGTCATTAAATTTTCCTTCATTCTTAACAAAAAGCCACTTTCCCTAATCCAAAATAATACATTCTCAGTAATCCTGCATATTACCAAATACCAATTAAACCAATAACCTTCTTTAGTTCTTCTGATCCCCTAAAAGTCAACAACAGATAAACAGAATTATATAGCAACAGAATAGATACATGTACTATGGTACATAATGTTCAACTGGGCATGGATATAAATACATTATAAACAAAAGCAAGGATATTTTATGATTAACTCTTATATCGGAAATATTATTCCCAGAATCTGTGCCGGTATTAAATAAAAGAATTTCTAGACAAATCATATATTATACCAGAATTTAACAAATTTAACACAAGATCTAATCTAAGAAACTAACCATCTTACTAACTAAATAATTGGTTATACAGTACAGAATGAATCCAATATCACCTAATCCAAATTAATCCGATATTGGTAACCGAAGAATGCCTAATTCTAGAATGGAAATATTATTCCCAGAATCGATGTGCCCATATTTTGTAAGCATGTTTCCACTTATGTATCTCAGGTTTACTTAATTATGTTACCAGCTTCCATTAGACCGTCACAGATGGCTGAGTAATTATATATTAAAATGGACCAAGCTAGCTGTTTTGCATCTATATGTAGCTCAGTATAAGTGTTGGTTTGTTTTGGTGTGTACTTATTTTTGCATGTATCAACGTGTACGCATAAATAGATATGTATGTCTATATGCATGACATGCATAAACAAATAAATATTCACAAACACATCTATATTGCCCGCTTTATTTAAATGGATTGATATTACAATATGCCAAATCAACCACTGAATCGAAAACTATAGCAAGATCATCATCATTAAATTCTAAAGATTAAGCATGACTTCTAAACTACTTAAGATATTGTGAACATTAAGTAACATGCTACACAATGTTATTTATTGTTTATTACTCTTCCGTATTTCAATGTTAGAATTTATACCAAGCAGTTTGATATCTTAATTTCGGTGTTCGATTAGAGTACACAAGAGGAAAGGAATGTGACAGTGGGCATATTTACCTTCAAAAGGAGGAGAAGGCGGTGTCTTAGAGCTCTATCATTTGTTCTGTCCACCAGCACTGTAACATGTGCAGTGCCTTCGAATGAGCCTATGGAGTTGTGATGTTGCTCATATACAATTGCCATGGCCCTTGCACAAAGCTCCCTGACTGAGGAACCTCCCCCTCCACCAAAACCATCTAATCTTCCCATATCACACCAATCATCAGAGGGACCCATTTCATCAGGAACAGCACCATCTACAGTAAGCCCTGTGTCTGCGTCACACAGAAACCGATGATAAAGTGCTCTAAAAAATGCAACTGGGTCACGGAGTGGAAAGTCCTCTGCCCTACCACCGGTCCCACTCTCAAGCAACAGCCTAAGATAATACTGACCCACACAAACTTCTTTGGCCAAGCTGGGGTATCGGACAGAAAATTCTCTATAGTTCCATGATATTTGAGGTGAGATTTCTTGCCCACTTGTAGATTCTTTGGATGTACCTCCAGGAACAATATCTTCAGTTCGTTCCTTCTCAAGGTCAAGTTTATGAACCTCAGCCTGCAAAGACTCCAATAACTCCTGCCTGGTACGCTCATTCCAGATCAAGTCTGCACGGTTGTGATCAAGACCAAAAGCTCGCCAAAAATCAGGCCAATTTAATAGCAATCTTCCACATCCCACATTTGCATTTTCTGTGACAACCTCGGCTGGAGCAGGTAGGCCTGAATTCTTGGCGCCAGATGAACCGACATCAAAGTCATGTGTGCTTGTAGCATTTGTTTCAACTGACTCACAAGCATGGGCTGCATTATTATCAGGAGAATCAATGGCTGACTTATCGATTGGAAGCACCCCTACAGCTGGAACCTCGTTAGAATAGTTTTCACCTGCAGGAACCCGAGAAGAACGAACATCAGACGGAATGTTCCCAACATTTGGATCTCCTGCAGAATTTCGATATCCATCTAAACCCCCAACTCCACTTGTTTGTCGTGCTTGATCATTGCCTTCAGCATCATTGACAGAAGGCATGTTATGCCCTTGAGATGCTATTTCCTTCACCGGACGATTTCTCCTTTGTTGAAGTAAACGTCGCTGTCTTCTGCTCATCAAGGAAACTTCCTGATTAGATATATCTTCATCTAAAATTCCATTAGATCGTGTATGCAGATACGCAACCAGACCAGGTGGCAGAACTCTAGACAATAAGTCAAGTGCAGGTTGATAAGAATCTGCCCACAGAGCCACAAGCTGTCTGCTGACATCACGTCGTTCACCAGCAGGAAGGTAAAATGCATGTAACAAATGCCTCAGTAGTGCACCATCACGTAAAGCAGCATCCCGCATTGATTCTGCTGCAACTGCATCTTCTTCCGCTATTGAACGCATAATTACAGCAACGGTTTCTCGGACACTCTCTGCAGGATGCCCGAACAATGCAAACAAGCGACGGCGTAAACCAGCTACAAGACGTAGCAATTCCACAAAAACTGTGTATTGGGTTGTTTCACTGTGTGGTTCACATATCATGGCTTCAAGAACTTCAACGACAGCCATTGACAACAATGGTGAAACAGAGATTGGCTTTAATCTGTTAACAAGGAGAGTTAAGTTACTCTGTTCAGCAAATAGTACAGATTTGGTATGCATAATGGTTGCATGTTGTTCTCCTTTTGTATCTGATAGCATATTTATATCCCCTGGACCACCTCCTATAAGCATAGCAATAAGTCCTATCGCTTCAGCAGCTACTCCTTCAGAACCATTTCTGAGTAGGCCCATGATTCTTCCAACAGCAGCAGGAAATGACATCACGTGTGAAGCAGCAGTTTTTGAAGCCAGCAACCTGCGTAAGCATGCAATGAAACCAATTACAGTGGCAGCTGCTTTTGGAGAAGGTGGTGGCAAGGGCAGGGATTCTATAGGAAGATTGGGAGCAGCAGGAAGCAATGTAATCAAGGCCATCAAAGTCACCTCCGGTACTTCAATACTGGGGGGAACTCCACTAAATGGAATGCATGCATTAAATTCTCTTATCCTGCGCCACAATTTAGCTCTTGAACCAGGAATAGAGCCTCCTTCAGCCACAGCATCTTTGGCAGCTGCTGCCAAGTGTTTCAAATGCATCATTGCAAATTCCATGTCAGCAACGGGGCGCTGTGGCTGTTGCGTCTGTTTTAAATGAACTCTGCCACAAGGCGGGTCAATACGATGACCAGGCATTGTGAGCCTCGGTAACACAGGCACTGGACATTGGCCCTGCACAAGCCAAATTTATACCTTACTGAACCATTTTTATAAAATATGATGGCCTATTAGAACTCAATTTATATCAGTAAGAACTGCAAAGCAAGCGCCATAATCCGACCAACATCGAATACAAAATAGGTCAGACCAACTTAGCATTCAGAATTAGCAAACAGGCACTCAGAACAATTGAAAGTTAATCAATCCAAAAACACATCTACCTACTTCGGTTTGCAAAACATCCAAAACTGCTGCGAGTAAGCTATCACGAGAGGTGCTAGCATAGACCTGAAATCATAATCAAATGTAACCCAGATTCCGTATCAAATGAAAAATCATTTTAGGAACTAAACACCTTAAAAATAGTACACATCAGCATAAAGCAAAAAGTACTCACGTGAATAGGACATCCATCATTAAACTCAACAGCAAACATTTGTGGCTCCTCAGCAAATCGAACAAGAGCACTCACTGAAGACAAGGGCCGAACTATAACAGCCTGCACACATTTAATGAGAACATCTAGCATTAATGACTATCAAGATAGATGCATGCTACATGGAAGTGGGAAGCTCCAAAATTGCTGCATGGCATTGTGAACTTGTTTTGAATTTTCTTTGAGCAGTATCAATATAAAGTTTATTGATCATCACTAGATGCAGAGCTGCAAGGGTAACCCTCTTTGGAAGGTTTAATCTTCCTAGGGATGCTATACTCATGTCCATACAATTGTAGGTAAGTTTTTTTCAAAAGTATTGAAATTACTTCCATAAGATGTGCATTTGCTCATATTGAAACAACATGCTTACTTCATAGTTTTCTGGGCGCCTCTCAACAAGAGAGACCTTGGTAAGGATTAGCTGACGCGAGACAGCATCACCAGAGTCCCCAAGTCCTCCTTTTGGTCCAAGTGCCAAACTTAATCCAGCAGAACGTAGCATTCCATGAGCAGCAGTTCGCAACCTTGTAACAGACCAACCACCAAGGGGAGTTTCCTCGGCCCCCACAGCTTCCTTAACTACATTTTACATGCATTCAGACAGAAGCTATATGAATGAAAGCACGCTAAAAATGATACAAAATAGCAGAATTAAAATGAGAACTTCTATAGTGATATTAAAGATTACCCCTTCGTTTCATATACTCTGGAATGGTAAGTGATTGAGAACTATCAACAACTAATGACACCCCAACCATAGAGTTTGCAGTTTTTGTCTGGAAAAAAGATGTTTAATATGAAATTGATTTAGTATATGAGAATTATCTGCAGCATCAAACTATTTAAATGGAGCTGATACAAAATAGATCTCTGGCATTTTAAAGCCATTAGCAGATAAATTAAATTGTGATAGTTTCAAGCCAACATAAAATAGGCCTTTGTTCTTATGAAGAATCGTATCAGGAAAACAAAAGTGTTGTTCGTACCAAATTTGATATAATGGCAGCATTTGAAGTTCCAGAAGCAGCCTGGAAAGCTTTAGATTTCCGTCCATACAAAGAACAAAGAACAAATCCACCATGGTCAACATTTTTCCTCCCATAAGCTTCAGCAAGAAGGACTATGGCTGGGGAATCCATATCTCTGAAGTCCAAGCACCAACGAAGATCTCCAGACTTCAAATCTATCACTTCAACGCCAGCATAAGTAACTTTCATTTTCTGCAAAAGAACATTTTACCAAAGTTACTGACAAGCTATTAGAACTGACACAAGACATGTAAAACAATCGCCAAAATGGCATAACCCAGTAAAACAACAAAGAATCAACAAAATGACTGAAGCTATTACCACTTACTTCATTGAAGTTGACATAATAGGAATGTTGAAATACAATAATAGTAATTGACAGTCTAACTAAATTTATGTTCACCCTGCACATATATTTAACCGCTATACAGTCAAGCAATTTGAATGACTGAAGCTACTACCACTTACTTCATTGAAGTTGACATAATAGGAATGTTGAAATACAGTAATAGTAACTATCAAAAAAAATACAGTAATAGTAATTAACAGTCTTACTAAATTAATGCTAACCCTGCACATATATTTAACCACTTTATAGTTAAACAATTTGATATGATTCTATTCAATGTTACATCTTCTTATTTCCATAGATTTCAATTTATAGTTTTCTACTTCAATTGTTTTGATCCAGCCATGTCAAAAACAAGGATACATATTTGGGTTGCAACATTTGATGGAAACACTACATTCGGCTCGGATTGTATTTATTCCAGATATAGGTTAAAAGCCACATAATCCATAATACAACACAAACAATTATACTCCCTTTTAGTGATGGTACACTATTAGCATGAATGCAGCTTGATTAGTATGAGAAGAAGCAATCCACCTAGAGGCAAATAAGTTGGATAGAACTACCAAACTAACAACCTTCCCACACGGAAGGGAGATCACTGCATTGGAAAATTAACAGTATAAAGACTTTGTATACTGTTCCTTACGTAACTAAGGATCCTATGATACAGCAAACAATGATGAAGGGAACAATTCCAACACAAACTTAAGATTTAGGTAATGCTCAACAATGACCAAAACGTTTTCCCAGCACCTGAACAACTAAAATAACATATGCTTATGAACTTTCTGTCCGTAACCTATACGATCCTTTCTACTTAATGTGAAGACACTGAAAAATGAAAAAAGGATTGTTAGAAAAAAACAAAAAATCTCTCTTTTCATATCATTTAATGCCACTGTTCACCATAGCTTAGCAGCCGATGGAACTATCATAATCTGTAACCAAACATTGAAGTTTTCTTCCAAGCAACATATATACATACATATTGTATACATATACTTCTGTGTGGGTGTGTGATTGAGTTACTGCAGAACCTTCAGTTAATTTAAAAGTTATCCATGCTGTAGCAAAAAGAAATAAGGGAACCTACTTCAGCCAGCCAGGCCACTAATATCCAATATAATAATATTCTTGTATCGTTCAACATCTAGAAGGGATGAAAAATTGGAAGTAAGAAATCGAGGGAAACAGCATATGGACCCCAAAAAATAGCAAACCGGGAACAATCAAAACAAGTCGAGGATGTCAGAAAACTTACAAAAGTGGCCCACTCGGAGGTCCTCCTTCGCAAATGAAGAACCGGAAACTCGGCGACAGTGACTACCTTATTCAATCTTATGCCGTGGAGTTCAGTCAAAATACTTGGCCTGTACTTGGAAGAAAACTTGATGCCTTTAAACTTGCCACGGCCATCGGTCCGCACACTAACATTAAACTCATTGGAATTATCGTCCCTCCCAATGATTGGGGCAGAGCCTTCAAAATCGGTGCCGACATCGTAAGAATTAGTGACGGAGAGTGTGTTGGGATCCAAAGTAACAATAGAGTAATTGGAAATGCAGAGAATTCTCTTGTAACGGCCTCGCCAGGAGTGCTTGATGACCATGTACCGGGCAACATACTCGGGCTCCTCAGGCGGGGCGGAAGAAGAGGAGGAGGAAGAAGGAGTATGTGGTGGGTGGTCGGAAGTATGGCGGCTGACGAAGTCCATTTGCGGAGCAGGGAGGTAGTGGAGAGAATGGGGCAGAGGAGGACTAGGACGGAGAAAGAACCATAATCCACCTGCCGGCGATGAAGGCAGAGGTCTCTGCCTTGACTGATTGGCACCCAGAGCTTCAAATCTGAAAACCCTAAGGCGGTTAATTTTTTATACTCTGCTATCGGAAATTCAACTCCGAGTAGTCGAGCCGATTGATTCTGAAACCCGATCTATCCGCATATGTATCTGAAGAAGATCATCCAGTTGGATTAACACAAGTATATAGAATCAATCACAAGAAAACGGGATCGGGAAGATTGAGCAGAAGAAGAATTATTTAATTTGGGGTGATGATGATCAATGTTTACACGTAAGTTGAAAGACGTGTTTCTTTCCCGAGATCGAAACGAATTGATAATTGAACAAAAGACTAAATTCACGGCATGGGGCTCCTCCGCACTAGGCCTGCCTACAGGGTCACTCTAAACTCTAATCCGGACCTGCACTTAGAAATCTAATTTAGAGCCTGTTTGGCTAAGCTTACAAGCTTCTAAAAGCATTTTATAAGATTTTAAGAGCTTATAAGGTGTTAAAAAATATTTGGTAAAAACATTAGAAAAAATTTTATTTTTTCTAAAAATAAGTAGCTTATAAGATGTATTTAGAAAAGTACCTACACCCCCACATTTTTTTTCTTTAAGATCTTATTTGTTTATTCACTAAAATACTCAAAATACAAAATTACCCTCCAGGCTCCAATACTTTACTATATTACATAAATACTAATAACATTTACATTTTATCAAAACAACGTATTCTAGTAATCCAGATTAATAATTAATTAAAATAGGGTAAATTACAAACACCCCCCTGAGGTATGGTCAAATTACAAAAAAACCCCCTCTTGTTTGGATAATTACATCTACCCCCATCAACTACGATTTTTTTCTTAGAACTCCACATTTATGGTGCCAAATTCAACATAGTCATCTAGATTCCGTGAAATGTGATCTAGTTTGTACTCTTTTTGTGTAAAAAATACAGTTTTCGATGCACCACAAACTGATATATACAAGCTAAAAATCACATATTATGATCATTTTACTTCATAATGTAGAGTTTGAATGGGATAAAACGGGTACAAAAGTGATAATATTCTATATAATCTCGAAGATTCCACTAAATTTGATGAGTTGAGGGGGGTGGTTGTAATTATTCAAACAAGAGGAGTGTTTTTGTAATTTAACCATACCTCAGGGGGGTGTTTGTAATTTACCCATTAAAATATAATTATCATAATAATTGTAACAAAAATTATTCTCTATTTATGTTTTATATGTATATAACAATACCGAATATTCTTATTATCTCAGTAATAAATTATATTTCTTTTATCAATCAAAAAAATTATATTTATTTTAAAACTTTTTTTGATATTAATATATTAATGGGACAAAAAATTAAAAATTATAATAATATTTCAGGAACAAAAATGTTTGAGTCAAAGTTTAACAGTTATAATGGCGTCATGTATTTCTTTGTCATTATAGCAATAAACAGACCTTTTATTTCCAAACACATGAATAACTTATAAAACTTAAAAGTAACTTATAAGCTACATATCCAAACACCTTAAAAATTAATTTTTAAACAAGATATAACAGCTTATCAGCTCCTAAAACATCTTATCAGATGTATGAGCTTATAAGATGTTTTAAATAAGCTTAGTTAAACGGGCTCTTAATATTCAATTATAAACTTTAATGTCTTAAAAGAAAAAAAAAAAAAAAAAAAAACTTTTGGCCATGTTTGGAAGCGTTTTTTATCTTATTTTGATTTTATTTTGAGGAAATATGTTTTGGGGGAATAATTTGAGAATGAAAGTAATGTTTCGTTGTATTTTGGAAGGAGACAAAATACACTGTAGCAGTCAAATCATGTTTAAAAGTGTTAGAAAAAGGTATTTTTGAAGAAAAAAATTGAAAGGTGAAGTGATGTTTATTTGTTTTTTAGTGAAGACATTTTTTATTGTAGCATTCAAATTTTTTTACTGTAGCAGTCACATCATGTCTGAAGGAGAGAGAAACTTTTGAAATTGTTTTGAGAAAATGATTTGAAAAGTGTGATAAATTCCATTTTGTTTTGGGGAAACAATAAAAACAAAATAAAAATCGTTCCAAACATTGCCTTAACCTCTCTTTTTCTTTTTTCTTTATCAAAAAACAAGGCAATGTTTGGTTGCGTTTTCATTTTGTTTTCATTGATTCGTCGGCATTGGGGATCCATTTTAGTCCTCTGAGCAGGAGGAATTGACATTTGCACAACACAATCAAATGTACGTAGATGCGAAATATCGAGCTCAAAGCCCAATGCCAATTGCATTGGGGAATGCATATGATAAGCAGTGGGACGTAATGTATATGTTGTTAGAGTAGGTGACCAACAAGCCAACTTGTAGCTGTGGTCTTTCATATTTATTATGGTAATAAACAAACATTTTTCGTATTAATGATAAAACACCTTGGCATTTTATATCTTTGTCCCTTTGTCACAAGCATAGATATAATCCTTACAGTTATTACAAGTACTAGTAATTGATCGTTAGGATCGTGAGATATTTACTTAAGTATTATAACTGTTAAACGTGTTCCTAATCGAAGGGTTACGCCACCAATGAGGATATCGGCATTTCCCATTAAGAGACTAGCACTTAGTGTATGTGTACTATATCTCATCAGTAAACGGTATTGTGATATCGGCATGCATAAGTGGGTACTCGTAAGTTGACGAGTTCACTGAACTCCCTCACCCTAGAAATCTCTAAGTGGTTCCCAATAATCGAGTAGATATATTTGTGGTATAGTTGTACACCATTAGTCCTTATGACCTAGACATCACCGTGACTTCACTAGAGGACCAGCTGTATCGTGACCTGTCCCTGAGTTCCACCGAGGACCACCCCAAGGGCCAGTGTTCGTGCAGTCCGAAATCTAGTGGGAGGTTTGTGCATTGTAACTGGGGATTCGATCGCTAGAATAGTCTTGGATGTCCTGTATGTTGTTATAGTTTGTAATCTCTCTAAGTCTCTGGCCAGAGCTGACTAAGTGATGATTAGAGAATTCGATTCTCTAAGTCATGCACGTAATGATTACAACACTTAGAATGATCGCACAGTCATTGAAATATTAAGGAGGTCTCGATGAACCAATGCCTCTAGCTCAAACGGGACATATGAATCGAAGGGATCGTACTGTACGTTAACTATATCAAAAGGTTCTTGCAGGCACTTCATTTGTATCTATGGAATCATGACGCGTAGTTGCTAGACGCCAATCTTGATTCGTTGTGTGATTAAGCTGCAACGATCTTCATCTTAATCGTAACTCTAAGGGACGAGTTTTGACCACAAAGGGTTGTGGGCCCACAGCTAGCTTACACCTGAACCATCGAGGGTCACACTACTTATGCGCATGAGATCTTTGAATGAACGGTCAGAGGTAAAAATGTTTTATCTTTGCATGATTGAAAGTCAATATGATTGGGTCCAACATTCGTAATTTGGAATTATAAATGAGAATAAGAAAAGGAAAAGAATAGACGAACATCTTAGTGGACTTTCTAGATCGGGAAGTTTCCAAATTTAGAAAGAGCGTTGAATTAGGGTTTCCACTTTTAGAAAGTTGGAAATTGAGAATTGACACTCGTAATGACGAGGACATTATGATGATTCCGAAAATGTAATTGTTACAATTTTCCGATCATCGAATTGAGAGAGTCGAGCGAGTAAAAGTACTAACAAGCTTAAGTTGTTGGGCCCGGTCCAACTTAAGCCCGTTAGGGTTTTATAAAAGACACTATAAATACTTGATTTATAGGTCTTGCACAACACACAACTCGAAAACCTAACCCTAGCCGCTCCCTCTCTCGGCCGTTCTCCCCCCGCGGCCAACACCGCTGTTCATTCGCCATTCATTCGGCGGAATCGGCCTCTCCTTGGCCGATTAATCGTGGTAGATTTTTTTCCTTTTATTTTTTCCGTTTATTCTAATTATTGCATGTCTAGTGCCACATTTTTTGTAGATGGAAGTGTACAAGGTGAAATCCGAGAGGAGGAAGATCGAAGAATCGCGGAGCAGCCCCCGAGCCGACGACGCACGCGCTCCCACGCGCCGCCTGAAGACAGCGCGTGATCATCACGCGCCGCCGTAGCTTGCACCGTCGCCGTCGCCGCTCTCGAATTGCACGGATTGGTTTCCATGGCAATCTTGGTTCGTTTCGTGCGCCTACCTCACGCTTCAAGAGGTATTCTCGAATCCAGTAGTCGTTTGATTATGATTTAATTAGATTAAAATTACACATGTTCGTTTTTTGTAGTACATTTCGTGAATTTATATGTTTTGTATGTTTACATGAAATTCATGATTTAATGCGAGCATGCTAATTAATTTAATTTCGATTAAGTAATTAAGCATGTATGTTGTTTTTAATTTCGCTGGAAGCGCAAAGGTACGCAATTAATTGTTTTCAATTATCGGGCATGTGCTTATGTGTTTTTAAATTTGTTTAAATCGCATAAATTTTTTTGTTTTCCGCTGCGTACAGTGTTCGATTCCCAACATATGCAATATTGCATGGCCCTATGATGTACTAGTGAGTTTAGATCTCATCAAACAAGTACATGCAATTATTTGGACGCGTTAATCAAAGATTTTGCCAGTCCATTTTGAGTGTGAGCGTATGCTACTTGGAGCTCGACATGTATACACTGTAAAAACGATGGTGATTCATAAACGACATTTTCAATAGAAGGTTTTATAATGAGCTTTCCTTATGAACATGATTCACATAAATTTTCATTGGAAATATAGATTTTTGTATCTTTCAATGGATGTCCGTTAGTGTGTTGTGAAATCATACGTATCATATACGTTTTTGGGTGATCAAGTCGATCATGCCATAACCTGTGTATATTGGGATTAACAAGTTTTTATGGCATAGTGGCGTAGGATTCCAAAGCTCGAATTTAGATACAATACAATCCAGAAGCCGTCACTTCGAACTTTTCATGAACAATGCTTTTGTCCATGACATCTGATGTGATGCATAGACACTCCACAATATTTTCAACCAGTGTCTCTAAATGACATCCACTGCGTCTCACGTCTTTAAAACTCAGTAGACTCTTATTTGATCTACCGGACATCAATGCATTTTCAATATACAAAGTGGTACCATTAGGCAACACAATTGTTGCGTTCTAGAAGCAATATATTATCTCCATAGAACGTGCTATGTTTTTAGCTTGCTCCTGGCACAATTTCACACTCAAAAAATATATTTTATTATTGAATATTGAGTGTGTAGTTGCACTATCGAGTAAGCAATAGTCATATTTGTCCATGTTTTTCATGTAGGCGTGATCAAAATTCAGTTTGACCTCGGGAATATATTCTCCAACGGAGATAAGTACAGGTGGGCATACTCAAAACAACTCGATCTTGGTAATCACACCATCCAATTATAC